TTTTTTTTTCTTTTCTTTTTATCGATCAATTTTATACGACCACTTTCAATATCTATTATTCAGAATCAGTATAATTCATTTTGCCCATCGGTTAACCGATTTATCGAAAATGAATTCGAGCGTGCACAAAAGTAAATATTTGTTTTATTTAATAATAAAACGATGCGACAAAAACAAAATCATTTATGCTTACGGTTCAATCGATTTCATAAATTTTCGATATCAATAGTAATCGTATACTTTGTACACACTTATTCGTATAATAAATATTCGGGCATTGATGAAATTAAATTTGATGTTTTTCAATATTATTTGTTTAATCCCTTGTTGTGAAAGGGGACCTGCATTAAATAAATGAAATGTACGCGTTTGGCATCAATAATGATCTATAAATAAATATTTCGATACTTTACAAAAACAATCAACCGAATGATATTGTTATACGTAAACATGAGATATAAAAACATATAATAATTTCTTGAATAATCACCATGTCTGATAATTGCCAACCACTTTTTTCGTCTCGTCTGGTTTGCATTTCGTCACGCTCTGCGAATTTTCCTTCCAGAGATCCTATCGTCATTTTAAAGTTTGCACTCGTGACACCAATAGTTTGTCAGAAATTGCTTTTCCGAGACTGATTTCATCCGCTACGGTTACCTGTATCACGCTGTCCACGCAAAAATATCTTCTACTCGCACAAATTCATTTCTTGATTGGATTTATTTATGGACCGTCATTCAACGTACGTTTCGTTTATAAGTATTTTCAGATTAAATTAAACTAGAATCATCGTAAGTTATTATCGACGAGATATTTAATCGTTCAGCATCGTGCAAAAAAATTATTATTAAGAAAGATTTTCACTTTTTACATAAAATCATCATTCGAATTATTAAAAATTCGTAAGCTCTTCGTTCGATCGGTTTCGATTCAATCTGAATTCGACTTCAAAGTATATTACGACATAAATCCAACTTGTTCGATTAGTCGAATCGAATAAGAACCTTAATTTGATGATACGATCTTATTTGAATCTAGAAAATAAATTTATCTATACATTCTATCTATACATCTATACATGAAAGCAACCGTTTTAATCTCGATTAAAATTATTATTAAAAAGTATCCCAGATTTTTAGTTTAAATAAAATCGATATTCTAAAATTTTTTAAATTTCGATAATCCCTTCCAATTATTAAAAATTCGTAAATTCTTCGATTCAATTCGAATTCGATTTTAAAATATATTACGACGCATATCCAACTTCGGAACGAGCCGAGTCGAGCCGAATGTAAAAATCTTCGGTATGCAATCTCGATCCCTCTCGATCCTTGCCGATCTTACTCGAACCTTGGATCTAGAAAATAAATTTATTTATACAATGTTAAAAGCAATCGTTTTAATTAAAATTATTATTAAAAAGTATTCCAGATTTTTAATTCGAATAGAAATATTTCTAAAAAATATATTTCGATAATCCTTTCGAATCATTAAAAATTCGTAAATTCTTCGTTCGATCAGATTCGATTCGACTCGAAATTATTAAAAGTTATTGTTTTCACGTGATAGCAGAGACAAAGAGGCAACTGGATTTTGCCTTTTCGTCGTTTCGAAGTCCGTAACGGACGCTCGAAGAATGGAAAAGTAAGGATGCTGTTGGAATTACCCCGCTACGTGTGCACGTTTATCGAGATACTCTCACAGAACACTTCTTTGAAGAAATTTCAAACTTTCTCGAACACCTCTAACTCTGTCCTCTCGATACCTCTCTCCCTTCCGGCTCCTCTATCTCGAAAGAAAGTTGGGTAGAGATTCCGCAACCGGGACGTTTCATCGTCCCCTTTATCCCTTCTCGCCCTCGTTGAACTTGCGTTTCTTCTATGCACAGACTATACACGACCCTATATATATATATAAAAGGCTTACCGAAGGTGAGCATCTCGCCTTATCGCGGATCACTGGATTTCATTCGAATTCGAAATATTGCGAGCTAACGTCTCGTCTCGTCGCTATTCTTCTCGACCTTTATTACGTTCTGGAAATTCTGTGAATTAGAATTGCGTTTTAGAATGAAAAAATCAATGATACCATTGTCCAACTTGTCGTATTAAGTTTCGAAAATTCGTAACGAGATTCGAGAAATCCTCTCTCGCGATTGAATTAATTAATTGATTAATTCATTGAATTGAAATTTTGAAAATTAAACAATGTGCGTGATATTTAATTCGATACTTGTGTGTAACGGTAATAAATTTCATGAGGAAGTAAATAAAAAAGGAGGAATAAAATGAGTAATGTTTCCACATCTTGGGACAGGTTGGCGGACAGCCTGTTAAAGAAACCTATTACAAACCTGAAAGTGAAAAATTTCATTTCAGTGTTATTACTTCGTTTTCACCACGAGGGCCAAAATGCGTCAAAGCCTTGGTTGATTTTATTTACAAAATATTTCCATTTCAAAGAGGTTACAATGTAAATCGACCTAAATCGAATTTAAACCTAATTTTACACTTAATTCAATTTTTAAAACCTTAAATAGCTATATAAATAAATAAATAATAATAAAAATAATAATAATAATAGAAACACTTCCGCGGCAACGAAATTGGAATTGGACATTGACTTGGAGAAAATAATAAGTCGATGAAATTTCTTTTATATACTTTTCTCTCCAATAATAATACGATTATCACCCATGTTTTCCCATGTTGCTTCTTGCATTTTCATCACTCAGACTCGACGAAACGATTCTATCATCGCATAGATCTCGCATTCCTCATAAATCTTGCGTTCCTCTTCTCACAATTCCTCTTACCTCTCCATTTGTCCCGAAAGAAAGATTCTTTCCTTCAGTTCCAAAGATCTATGAATGTTCGAAGTTGACAAGCGAAAAAAGAACGCTCTTTGGTGAACGAGCTACTCCATACCCCCTCTTTATTGCAGTAGTGTTTCAATTTAGCACCCGTTAAAAGAGTTTCGGGTGCTTTTATCGCGAAAGTTCTGCGCGGTCAGATAGAAAATAAGACGAGAAAGCGCACGGGGTCGGGTCAAACAAAACGGGGTTAAGGGACACACGAGGGAGGGGGGTGGGTTCGAAGTGGAAGCAAGAGAAAAACGGTGATACGCGGTGGTACCTTCTCGTGACGGCGCTGACTATGGGTCCGCGTTACACAGTTTTAAACGTGCTTTATAACCTAAATTAACTCGTTATCGCGCTAATTGCTCTTGGTATCTCCTCCACGTGTCAGGAACTATCATCGTTTCTTCAGAATGAATCTTCGAAAATTTATCCGTTGAACAAAAAGTTGGACTTGTTCGAGAAATTAGCTCGAGCTAAAAAGAAAGAAAGAAAGAAAGAAAAAAACGATTTTTGATGCAAAGAATAATTTGAAATAATAATTTATCGATTTTGTTATCTGTTCTTTGAACTGTTATCTGGAAAAAAATATATTTTTAATTAACGTTAAATCAAATCGTGTAAATCGTGCAATATACGAATCAAAGTAAGATCGTTAAATAAAAAAAGTAACAAAGTGATGTCGATATTTTAAAGCGGTAGTAAAAAAAATTGAATAAACAAATGGAATAAATTTTATCCGATATCAATTACGAACAAAATTGGCATTCTTCTCAGCAAACGCACGCGGTTTCGCGTTCGATATCCTTATCGATTAATCGTGTCTAGAACCGCTCTTAGAAGCTCGTTCCGCGGTTGCAGTAATGTTAGTGGCCGTCGTTATCCGAGCTCCCCCCAGCGGATTTCGATATTTCTCCAACCGAATTTGCGGTTGAATTAATCCGTTTTAACAGGATTCCAAGCCGAGATAACGAAGACTCTCGTAATAACGTTTGCCACTGGCGTGTTAAAGCTCGCGTAAAGTTCGAAGACTCTTCGGGAGAGATAGATAACGCGGCGGGGCGAGCCGTGCACATTTATCGGGCTGAAGCTATTCCAACAACTTTCCTTACGGAGTTTCGTGAAATAACTTTTCCTTCGCGTCGTTTATTTCACGGTGATCGTGCTACTTTACCTTCAATTTCCTGCCTCATCGTTTACCTATCGAACAATGAAAACAAATGGTAAACTTGTCCCTTGGAAAAGTTTTCGCGGTGCGACGCGTCGCGATGTAACGTGTCGCGCGATTTTTCGACTCGACACGTTCGCAAAGTGAAGACGCGAGTGAAATTATTGTGAACACGTTCACAAAACGAGTCGTGAGGAAATTATCGACCGAATACGTTCACAAAAACGAATCCTGAGTGAATTATCGATCGAACACGTTCATAAAAAACGAATCGTGAGTGAGTTATCGATTGAACACATTGATAAAAAGGAGTCATGGAAAAAATATCGACCGAACACGTTCACAAAAACGAATCGTGAGTGAATTATCGACCGAATACATTCACAAAAACGAGTCGTGACTGAATTATCGACCGAACACGTTCACAAAACGAGTCGTGAGGAAATTATCGACCGAACACGTTCACAAAAACGAATCGTGAGTGAATTATCGATTGAACACGTTCACAAAAAACGAATCGTGAGTGAATTATCGACCGAACACATTCACAAAAACGAATCGTGAATGAATTATCGACCGAACACGTTCACAAAACAAGTCGTGAGGAAATTATCGACCGAACATGTTCATAAAACGAGTCGTGAGGAAATTATCGACCGAACACGTTCACAAAAACGAATCCTGAGTGAATTATCAACCGAACACGTTCACAAAACGAGTCGCGAGGAAGTTATCGATCGAACACGTTCACAAAAACGGATCATAAGTGAATTATCGACCGAATACGTTCACAAAAACGAGTCGTGAGGGAATTATTGACCGAATACGTTCACAAAAAACGAATCGTGAGTGAGTTATCGATTGAACACATTGATAAAAAGGAGCCATGGGAAAGATATGGATCGAATTTTTACGATTAATGTTTTATTGAATGTATAATTAGGATGTAATATTTACATTGATTTCGTTCACTTCAATGGACACGATAAACGCGAGAATCGCGTGAATATCTGTCACGAATCTCCGACAACGGGTATATATTCAGCAAAATCGATTCACTTCGCGATCACTTTACGAAAAATCACGAAGAGGACAGAGAGCTTTCGCGATTTTATTTCAAAAAGAAAAAAAGAAAAAAATCTCCAACACTCGATATCGGAGATTCGACAGAGGATCGAAGGAAGAACCACTTTCACGTCACAGAACGTAACTCGTGCTCGTTCATCTCGGGTCCAGAGAGTGTTACTTATACGCTATCTGTGTGTGTGTGTATGTATATATATATATATATTGTACGTAATACGCCCATTCCTCTCGTGTAAAGTTACGTGTATGTATGTAAGTGTACATTCATAGCATACGTATAACGCGCGTATGTACGAAGGAAACGCTTCACTCATCGCGTACAACGACGACAGAGACTACTAAACGAGTAGAAGATGATCCTCGAATCGACAGGTTCCCCTATCCTCTCTTCCTTTACAAAGAAAAGGACAAAAAGAGGAAAGAAGGAGGAGGAAATCGTTCGTATGAGCTCCGCGTCGCGCGTCATTCTATTTCCGAGAGAAAGAGAGAGAAAGAGAGAAAGAGAGAAAGAGAGAGTGAGTTAAAAGCGAAACGTATCTTACCGCATACTTCTAGATCAATTCCACAGAAACCAGAGAGAGAAAATTATTCCGACGGTGCTCGGCTATTTCTGCGGGACAAAGAAATCGCGAGATAATGAATGAAACACAGGGACGAATAGGAGAGAGAATAGGAGGAGATAAAAGGGTGGAGGGTGGAATAAAAGGCAGGAGGGAATGAAACAAAAGGATACCTCTGGCTGGGTAAAAATCCTTCCCTCGCGATCGAACGTCGCATTCCCCCCTCGAGAATAGGGAGGACGCGAGTCTCTTTCTCCCCGGACAATGGTTGAAAAGAATCGGGTGGGTGTACGCGCAAGAGGGTCCCCGCCGAAAGTGGCGGCCACGCTCGCTTCGTTCCGTGTCGTGTGTTCATACGCGAACTAATACACGCGACGACGACACGTTCCAACGTGTTTGACGGCGGCATTCGAAAAAAAGAATATCGCCCTCGTGGGATCGATCGTGGGAGTTGGAGGTGAAAAGACGAGTCCCGAATGACCGACCGATCGTTCGACTCATCCTCGCGGAAGAAGATGGACCGGGTTTGCGGTGGTGCGGGGCGGCACGACTGACACACCAGTCGCCTCCCCCGCCCCGTAAGTTGGAGGGCGATTCATGTCGGGTAGAGGCTGGTGAAACTCGGTATCCTCCAGCTGACGGCCGCCAGGAGGGACACCAGAAAGTTGCTCGCCAAAATTGCCGGGCCAAGATTCCTCCTGTCTCCGCCGTGCATCGCCGCCGGTTTCTCCTCCTCTGAAACGAGATTAGAAACTCTGACTCGATGGCTGCAAAAAAGAAATTCCTTCTTCGCGAGAATCGTTCTGCTTGAATGAGAAAGATAGAGAGAGAGAAAGATAGAGAGACGTTTCACGTACTAGTGGCCGAGAAGAGTTCTTCCATGTTCTGGAAGAAGGAGAGAGAGAGAGAGAGAGAGGGAGAGAAAGATATTTTCGTATAGGAGCGGTAAAATACCCCTGAGGGCGGCTACGACGTTTTAAACGAGCTCGACTCCTAGTCGGACACAGGAAGCTAGCTAGAACTTCGGACGAGACGAGGTTCGTCTCTTTTTTACATCTTCGGTCTTCCTCGTTCGCCTCGAACTTCGTCTCCGTAGTAGTAGAAATAGTAGTCTGGTCACGCGCGCAACGATCTCCGGAATACCGGCAACCTGGTCGAGGAGATGCTCGAGGGGCAGTAACGTCAAATCTTGCTTTTACACCCGGATTTCTATCGAGCTATTCGAAATATCGGTGTATCCGCACGTAAGATGGAACGTTTCTCTCCACGGATATTCCATGTTAAGATTTTTTTTGTCTTACGGAACTCTCTCGATCTCTGCCTCTCGTTAATTGAATCTGTTGTCAAAACTTGAGGAAAACAAGATCACTGGAAAGAACGTTTGCGATACTACATTATCGAAGCGAAACGTAGAGTCGATTCGTTCAACATTATTTCTCAAAATTAATAATAAATTGAAACGAATTTTTTATTAATTAACTCAATAAAAATCGATTTCGTTCTCATTACCGCTCACCTTCGATCACGTGAACCATCACGTATGCAGGCTTGGCGTTGCTCGGCGCGCAAGTGTAATTGCCGCCATGCGAGGGTTTCGTTTTGTTGACCATCAGGATCGATCCGTTCTTGGTCAGCTCGACTTTCACGCCTGGCTCCTCGTCGTAGTTGATCATGTGCCCTTGGCGGTACCAGAAGACGTAGAGGGGCGATTCCGCCGCGGCCTTCAGTTGACACTCCAATCGAAGGCTCGAGCCTTGCTTCACGTGTAAATCGGGGGCGCCTGGTATGATCGAGTACGCTTCCGTGATCTTCAAGCGCACGAAATTCCGTTGCACCGGATGCGACGTAATCTGAAATTTCGACGACCGATTATTTCTCCGAGTGAATGCTTCCCTCGATCCGATCTGTATCACTCGTGCGAATGTACGATTGGTATTCTAATTTGAATATCTAGCTCGAGCCGTCGAAAAAATGTTATTTCTTTACGAGGAATGTCACGATTTCGAAATTATTCGAGGCCTCGAGTTTATATCGTATACATCGATCGCTTATGACGATGACGTTTTTTTAATATCTGAAAATTTTAGAAATTATTTATGAAAATATTCGAAATTATTTATAGGCTAGAGAAGAAGTTTTCGAATTACTTTTGAAATGTAATATGTGTCCTCGCCTTAAAAATTAAAGGCAACGACAGGATACAATCGTCGGTATCCTTCATCCCCGGCGTCGTCCGGGGGGAAAAGCGTTTGACAAGACTCAGTGAGATTTCATCGCCGAAATATTCTTTTCTCGTGTTCCTCCTCTTTCTCGTTACGCGCGCGAGAACAAACGTCCCATAAAACTTACGGCCCGCTGTAAATTTAAAATATCCTCCCCATTTTACGTTTGCGAAATAAACGGTATGCGTGTTTCCGCGCGAACAGAATGAAGCACACCGTTCCATTTTGAACGTGTGCCCTTTTATATTACAACGCCTAGCTGCATACCCGTCTTTGCATACCTGACACTCGTATATACCCTCATCCTGAACGGTAACCACTCGTATCTGCAGCAACCAATCGGTACTCGAGTGAATCACGACAAATCGTTTGTCGACCGAGTGGGTGCTCTTGCCCACGGTTAACAACCGCCTGTTTTTTCGTTTCATCCATGTGATCTGAAATTGAAAAAAGTTTAATTAAAAAAGAACGGCAGGTCTCGCCCCCATACCTGTCCATAAATTTCACGCGCGCGCGTACGTGTGTGCGTGCGTTCGCTACAGGCGAATGACCCTTTTTTTTTTCCTTTCTTTTTCTTTTTATCAAACGCGAGTTAAAGTTGAACGAGGTTGGTCGCGCGTTTCGAACGAAGAATCAAATCGGCCATTCAGGCCGAAAATTTCAGGCCGATCCGGGAATCGCGGCCGTAAAGGCAGCCAAGCAGTGCCGCACGACGTCGTATTTCAATGGTAGCAGCCCCGAACCAGTTAACGTCGCGCTAAAGTAGCCAATGAATACCTCATGCTTTCGCCTATGCTCAAAAATTGAACGGAGTCATTGAACCGACGTATCCGACCCTCCCTAGGTTTCATGACTAACCTTACCCTCCGTCATAAAGGATGTAATAGTGGGAATAAATTGTGTGTGTGTTAATTTTTCTTTTCTTTTGTACTATTCACGAGGTAGTATTCATAAGGATTTGACGAGATTTTCTTTTGAAAATGTTCGAATCAGTAAAAAAATAGATTTTTTAATATCTATTCAACGAGGATATTTAATGGGACGTTTAATGGTATTGGCAAGTATTCTTATTCTCAGTTTTCTTTGAGAGAGAGAGAGAGAGAAAGAGAGAATGTTCTTTGAACACTCTATTCGAGATAACCGTGTCATCGGGTCTCGGCAAACGCATTGGAAATTTAGGATAAAAGGATCCTCGATAAATTCACGGATATCACGGATTAATCAGATAACAAGTAACGAGCGATTTTCTTCGTAAAGCCCGAAATAATTCAGGGATGGGGACGAGTGAGTGGGCCGTTCGTTGTACAGGCGTTAAAAGCATTTAGGTCATTTACGGTAACGATGTATAGGAAACAGCATGTATCATATCATAGGCAATGGGAGAGGCGGAGTAAGCCAGGCTCGTGTCCAATATCAATTACCTAGGCCATTAGTGTACCCTAATTTCAGGGTAATTTTCATTCCTGACCGTGGTGACCACGAAACTTTACTCAATTTGTCCGACGCCCGTCGATTTCCACCACCACCACCACCTCCTCCTCCTCTACCGCTCTCCTATTCGCCCTTTCCGCTTCGAAAAGTCCTCTCCTTTCCTCCTTCTCCTCCTCCTCCCCTTGCTCCGCCGAAATTTCTTAAAACTTACTAAAATTATCTTGTCACCGCCCGTTTTCTAATCGGCTCTCCTCTCGCAACATTTTAACCCCGCATTCCCACACGAGACGAAGCGATACACGTTAATAATACGCGTCGAAATACGGTTTCGTCTCGTTGTAACCGTCCCCCAATATCCTCGACGCGGTCGAGGATGCAAGAAGTTGAAAATTGGCTGGGAGGAACGAGTTTCAAATTGCTCAAATTACGCCGGCGAGCGGGTAAAAATGAGTGGGGGGGAATCGACATTGAAAACAGATTGGACAAACGACGTTGCACGTGGTCGCCGTAGTCAGTGCAGCCGAATTCTGGGGAGAGAAGGGAAGGGGAGAAGCGTGTAACGCGCAGGAATGTGGCAGCAGCGGCATAATGCCACTCGTCATAATGCGGAAACCGGTAACGAGTTTCCCAGTGAAACAGATTCAACTCGACCGTAAATATCAGAAAATATCACGCGCGCGAACCCGTGACGCGTTTACAAACGCGGGCAAAAGGGGGAGGGGGAGGGGGTGGGTTCGAAATTCGACGGCGAAATATAACACGCCGTCACCTGCGTTAATTTCATTAAAGGTGTGATTCCGTAATTTCCGTAATATTTTTGATTCGCGTTGAATTTCGCGTTTCCGAGTACATCGTCCGTTTCCCTTCTGCCGTTTATTAATGTATTCCTCCGTGCTTATTTGCATCCCAATTTGAAAAATGTTTTTGGCAATAAAAAAAATTTTTGGAAATAAAATAAAATGAAATAAAGAAGAATGAAATTTAAATGAATTGAAAGATACGGAATCGTTGATTATTATTATTATTATTTTTTTTTTTCTTTGTTTGAAAATTAATTCAACCTCAATGTTGCGTTTTGTGAATTTTTGTTTTCGTCGATGATCGAAAGGAAGGTGGGAAAATTTTTGGAAAAATTTGATCGGAAGTTGAACGGAAAATGGTATCGGATGGTATCGGAGGAAGTCTTAATTCACCGCGAAATTGAGGAAATTGTATAATCGAATTGTGCCGATTGAAATGAGACGTTCACTGTCGATCGAATCGATCCTGGCACAGCTTTCAATGCATAAACCGTTTTAATGCTTAGTCGGCGCGTAATTATCGCCGATTCCATCAAATAGATCCGTAGGAGACCAATTCTAGGGTACATAACGTCGCTGAAACCATCGACTATCTAATCCAGGATGTTTCCACGTAATCCTGAATTCTGTTAGAGAAACGAACTTGCTCCGTTATCCCAGATCAATCTAACGTTTTGGCGAATCTGTATCCTCTCCATCAACGTTTCCTTTAAAAAGATAAAAAAGATATTATCATCGATTTTTCCCCCTCGATCTTCGCCTAGAAGAGTCTTCTCCTTTTTAAAATATTCGCACAGCGGACATTCCTTTCGACGGGGGAATATCGTGCAAATAGATTAATTTATTGAACAATAATACGCAGGTCAACGAAATCGAATTTATCCTTTTTAACCGAAATGCAAATCGTGCTCTGAAACGCGATTTAATCCCGCTTCGATTTCATTAATTTCCCTTTAATTTCGACTCTTAATTTCGTTCTCCGCCGCGAATCCCTTCATCGCTCTTCTTAAACGTGGCACGTATGTTTCGAGAATCCTCCCAAGGGATGCTGTTAAAGCAAGCGTAGAAGCAAGAAAACCTTCAAACAGAGAGAGAGAGAGAGAGAGATCGTATGTGTATACACGTGCAACCGACCGTCTCGGTATATAGAAGCTCGTGGAGCTTTTCAACCAGAGCTTCCACCAATACCGGCGAAAGCTTAATTGGAAACGACTATCCACGGCAGCCTTATACCCTATTCTTAATCTCCCGAATGGGAATTGCCATGAACCGTGGAGCCTGTCCTTTCTGCGATCAGTGGATAACGATGTGGCCGCGCTTTTCGTATCCTCACGAAATCTTAACAAACTGGTTCATGGTGAAGGGTGGAGCTTGTTCGAAGAAGCCATTATACGCCGGTAAAACGTCTTCGAAATTACCGGGGACCCGGTTGAATTATACTAGCTTCCTTATTACACAAATCTCCCCTGGCGGCATTAAGGAAAATTATTCGCCTTCGTGGAATCCTGTACACAAGAGACACGACCAAATATATCTTCCACCAGTAAAATCCATTTTCGCCTCATCGAGTTTAACGTGCAATTTTTAAGTTATAAAATATATATATATATATTTTCAATTTTGAATTCGATGGATTTCTCGATGGAGGATGGCAATGTTTTTTTAACATAATTTGGCACGTATCTTCTGCGTGAAGTAATCCATTTTCGATTTTTAGAGTTTAACGTGCAATTTTTAAAAAAGAATTATTTTCGATCGTATTTTCAATTTCGAATTCGATAGATTTCTCGATGGAGGATGGCAATGTTTTTTTAACATAATTTGGCACGTATCTTCTTCGTGAAGTAATCCATTTTCGGTTTCTAGAGTTTAACGTGTAATTTTTAGTTAAAAAAGGATTATTTTCGATCGTAATTTCAATTTCGAATTCGATGGATTTCTCAATGGAGGATGGCAATGTTATTTTAACATAATTTGGGACGTATGGCACGTATCTCCTGCGTGAAATAATCCATTTTCGGCTTCTCGAGTTTAACGTAACGAGTTTTAGTAAAAAAAAAAGAAAAAAAAAAAATTCGCGCGCATCTTCGATCGTATTTTCAATTTTTGAATTCGATAGATTTCCCGATGGATGAAGGTAATGTTTTTAACATACTTTGGGAAACGGGTGTAAAATAAATTGGCGTTATCCAATTACTGGTGGAATAATTATTATCGAGTACGATTGCATTGTTCGACGGGATACACGTTGAAAGTTCATCCGATTATACGGTTTCGAAAAGTTATTCCTTTAACGAGGAAAGATTTTCATCTGTCTGTTATTGAGAAATTACAAAGCAAATTTGGTTTAGAATCACGCGCCCTTAAGATTATTAATGGGTTTATTTTATTATTAATTGAGCAGATTTATGGGAGAAAGGTGTACAGATCCATGATATCTATGCATTGAATCACGTTTCAGATTGGTTGATATAACTCGTGCATCGAATCCGAATATTTTTGAAATAACAAATTCGTTCGAGATACGATCACATTTCGTATAATATTTCATATGACATCTTTAAAATAACATTATTTGAAATAATATTCGAATTTATGAAATAATATTTTAAATTATAATACATTTCAAACAACTGTGTAATTTTATTTCGCTTAATTCGAATAATTTACTCGAGACAATTTAAAATATTATTTTAAATGATGTTACATTATTAACACGGCGATGAAATAAACGATTTTAATTTATTTATAAAATATAAAACTTTTAAAACAACGGAATAGAATATCCCAATCAATAAATCTGTATAAATTTCAACAGCTTTCATTTGGATTAAATAAATTCAACGAAAATAAACCTACATGTATATATATATAACTTTAAACGGCGCTATCGAAACCGGGAAAATAATTTAAAGCCGAGAACTCGATAAATTCGAAAAGTGTTTGCCCTTTTTTTAAACGTTCGTTACACTTCTAACGATGAGAAAGATTTCTCCTCCATAAAGACGCTCTCTTCACCAAAAGACGGTAATAGGAATGGAAATATTTGTCGAGAAAGGAACGTTTGCGCATTTATTAAACCTCTTCTCAATTGCCTCTTCTTCCTTCCTTCTTTCCTTCCTTCCTTCCTTCCTTTGTGTTATTTCTTGTATTATTTCAAAAAAAAAAAAAAGAAAAGAAACGAAAAAAAAAGGAAAAAAATTACA